ACAAATATGTTGAAGCATAAATCACATCCAATCGATAATAGCACACATTTATTGTAGCGATGATTTTTACTTCACTTCAAGCAACATTTGCGCCCAAATTTATTATTCAACAATATTTCAGTTGCTAAATTTACATTATCACTGGAACAAAACAGATTGCAAGTAGAGAAAAATTTCGATCTTCATGCATTCAAAGTAAGTAATATAGATTGATGATATATTTTATACAAATGATAAAACCTGAGCAAAATCTCATTCTTGCTAAAAGCATTTATTATTGTCCCACAAATATGCAGGACGTTCCAAAATTTTACTTCAAGCCACAGTAGCCTAAACTCTGGGCCGAAACATTCAATTACCTCAAACTTGGGTAATTAAACCGTCGATCATACCTGCATCATTATCATATAGTTGTTGTGTATTCAACATTCAGCTGATTATTTTTCGGCGAACAGATCAAACTGTGATCCATTTTTTATCACTTTCGATAATAGCACACATTTAATTGTAGCGATGATTTTTACTTCACTTCAAGCAACATTTGCGCCCAAATTTATTATTCAACAATATTTCAATTGCTAAATTTACATTATCACTGGAACAAAACAGATTGCAAGTAGAGAAAAATTTCGATCTTCATGCATTCAGAGTAAGTAATATAGATAGATGATATATTTTATACAAATGATAAAACCTGAGCAAAATCTCATTCTTGCTAAAAGCATTTATTATTGTCCCACAAATATGCAGGACGTTCCAAAATTTTACTTCAAGCCACAGTAGCCTAAACTCTGGGCCGAAACATTCAATTACCTCAAACTTGGGTAATTAAACCGTCGATCATACCTGCATCATTATCATATAGTTGTTATGTATTCAACATTCAGCTGATTATTTTTCGGCAAACAGATCAAACTATGAACCATTTTTTTTATCACATTTAATGCATGTCTAAAAAACACCAAAAATATGTCTACAACACCTGGGATTCCCAGGCCGTCTCCGATCCAAGTACTAACCAGGCCCAACGTTGCTTAACTTGACAGACCCGACGAGATGTCGTGCTTTCAACGTGGCATTGTCACAAATATGTTGAAGCATAAATCACATCCAATCGATAATAGCACACATTTATTGTAGCGATGATTTTTACTTCACTTCAAGCAACATTTGCGCCCAAATTTATTATTCAACAATATTTCAATTGCTAAATTTACATTATCACTGGAACAAAACAGATTGCAAGTAGAGAAAAATTTCGATCTTCATGCATTCAAAGTAAGTAATATAGATTGATGATATATTTTATACAAATGATAAAACCTGAGCAAAATCTCATTCTTGCTAAAAGCATTTATTATTGTCCCACAAATATGCAGGACGTTCCAAAATTTTACTTCAAGCCACAGTAGCCTAAACTCTGGGCCGAAACATTCAATTACCTCAAACTTGGGTAATTAAACCGTCGATCATACCTGCATCATTATCATATAGTTGTTATGTATTCAACATTCAGCTGATTATTTTTCGGCAAACAGATCAAACTATGAACCATTTTTTTTATCACATTTAATGCATGTCTAAAAAACACCAAAAATATGTCTACAACACCTGGGATTCCCAGGCCGTCTCCGATCCAAGTACTAACCAGGCCCAACGTTGCTTAACTTGACAGACCCGACGAGATGTCGTGCTTTCAACGTGGCATTGTCACAAATATGTTGAAGCATAAATCACATCCAATCGATAATAGCACACATTTATTGTAGCGATGATTTTTACTTCACTTCAAGCAACATTTGCGCCCAAATTTATTATTCAACAATATTTCAATTGCTAAATTTACATTATCACTGGAACAAAACAGATTGCAAGTAGAGAAAAATTTCGATCTTCATGCATTCAGAGTAAGTAATATAGATAGATGATATATTTTATACAAATGATAAAACCTGAGCAAAATCTCATTCTTGCTAAAAGCATTTATTATTGTCCCACAAATATGCAGGACGTTCCAAAATTTTACTTCAAGCCACAGTAGCCTAAACTCTGGGCCGAAACATTCAATTATCTCAAACTTGGATAATTAAACCGTCGATCATACCTGCATCATTATCATATAGTTGTTGTGTATTCAACATTCAGCTGATTATTTTTCGGCGAACAGATCAAACTGTGATCCATTTTTTATCACTTTCGATAATAGCACACATTTATTGTAGCGATGATTTTTACTTCGCGATCATACCTGCATCATTATCATATAGTTGTTATGTATTCAACATTCAGCTGATTATTTTTCGGCAAACAGATCAAACTATGAACCATTTTTTTTATCACATTTAATGCATGTCTAAAAAACACCAAAAATATGTCTACAACACCTGGGATTCCCAGGCCGTCTCCGATCCAAGTACTAACCAGGCCCAACGTTGCTTAACTTGACAGACCCGACGAGATGTCGTGCTTTCAACGTGGCATTGTCACAAATATGTTGAAGCATAAATCACATCCAATCGATAATAGCACACATTTATTGTAGCGATGATTTTTACTTCACTTCAAGCAACATTTGCGCCCAAATTTATTATTCAACAATATTTCAGTTGCTAAATTTACATTATCACTGGAACAAAACAGATTGCAAGTAGAGAAAAATTTCGATCTTCATGCATTCAAAGTAAGTAATATAGATTGATGATATATTTTATACAAATGATAAAACCTGAGCAAAATCTCATTCTTGCTAAAAGCATTTATTATTGTCCCACAAATATGCAGGACGTTCCAAAATTTTACTTCAAGCCACAGTAGCCTAAACTCTGGGCCGAAACATTCAATTACCTCAAACTTGGGTAATTAAACCGTCGATCATACCTGCATCATTATCATATAGTTGTTGTGTATTCAACATTCAGCTGATTATTTTTCGGCGAACAGATCAAACTGTGATCCATTTTTTATCACTTTCGATAATAGCACACATTTAATTGTAGCGATGATTTTTACTTCACTTCAAGCAACATTTGCGCCCAAATTTATTATTCAACAATATTTCAATTGCTAAATTTACATTATCACTGGAACAAAACAGATTGCAAGTAGAGAAAAATTTCGATCTTCATGCATTCAAAGTAAGTAATATAGATTGATGATATATTTTATACAAATGATAAAACCTGAGCAAAATCTCATTCTTGCTAAAAGCATTTATTATTGTCCCACAAATATGCAGGACGTTCCAAAATTTTACTTCAAGCCACAGTAGCCTAAACTCTGGGCCGAAACATTCAATTATCTCAAACTTGGATAATTAAACCGTCGATCATACCTGCATCATTATCATATAGTTGTTGTGTATTCAACATTCAGCTGATTATTTTTCGGCGAACAGATCAAACTGTGATCCATTTTTTATCACTTTCGATAATAGCACACATTTAATTGTAGCGATGATTTTTACTTCACTTCAAGCAACATTTGCGCCCAAATTTATTATTCAACAATATTTCAATTGCTAAATTTACATTATCACTGGAACAAAACAGATTGCAAGTAGAGAAAAATTTCGATCTTCATGCATTCAAAGTAAGTAATATAGATTGATGATATATTTTATACAAATGATAAAACCTGAGCAAAATCTCATTCTTGCTAAAAGCATTTATTATTGTCCCACAAATATGCAGGACGTTCCAAAATTTTACTTCAAGCCACAGTAGCCTAAACTCTGGGCCGAAACATTCAATTACCTCAAACTTGGGTAATTAAACCGTCGATCATACCTGCATCATTATCATATAGTTGTTGTGTATTCAACATTCAGCTGATTATTTTTCGGCAAACAGATCAAACTATGAACCATTTTTTTTATCACATTTAATGCATGTCTAAAAAACACCAAAAATATGTCTACAACACCTGGGATTCCCAGGCCGTCTCCGATCCAAGTACTAACCAGGCCCAACGTTGCTTAACTTGACAGATCGGACGAGATGTCGTGCTTTCAACGTGGTATGGTCGTAGACTATTGTTACAAATATGTTGAAGCATAAATCACATCCAATCGATAATAGCACACATTTATTGTAGCGATGATTTTTACTTCACTTCAAGCAACATTTGCGCCCAAATTTATTATTCAACAATATTTCAATTGCTAAATTTACATTATCACTGGAACAAAACAGATTGCAAGTAGAGAAAAATTTCGATCTTCATGCATTCAAAGTAAGTAATATAGATTGATGATATATTTTATACAAATGATAAAACCTGAGCAAAATCTCATTCTTGCTAAAAGCATTTATTATTGTCCCACAAATATGCAGGACGTTCCAAAATTTTACTTCAAGCCACAGTAGCCTAAACTCTGGGCCGAAACATTCAATTACCTCAAACTTGGGTAATTAAACCGTCGATCATACCTGCATCATTATCATATAGTTGTTGTGTATTCAACATTCAGCTGATTATTATTCGGCGAACAGATCAAACTGTGATCCATTTTTTATCACTTTCGATAATAGCACACATTTAATTGTAGCGATGATTTTTACTTCACTTCAAGCAACATTTGCGCCCAAATTTATTATTCAACAATATTTCAATTGCTAAATTTACATTATCACTGGAACAAAACAGATTGCAAGTAGAGAAAAATTTCGATCTTCATGCATTCAAAGTAAGTAATATAGATTGATGATATATTTTATACAAATGATAAAACCTGAGCAAAATCTCATTCTTGCTAAAAGCATTTATTATTGTCCCACAAATATGCAGGACGTTCCAAAATTTTACTTCAAGCCACAGTAGCCTAAACTCTGGGCCGAAACATTCAATTACCTCAAACTTGGGTAATATATTGGTTGCTCAATTAAATGGTATCATTCTACATTCTACAGTTTAATATATATGCCGATTTTACTATATAAAAAAATTTTTGATAAATTTTGTATCGTAATATATAATATTAAAGTTTTAAAGGTTATTGTATCATGGCTTTATCAAAATTTCCTGATCTGAAATTTGACCTAATATTTAAGAAAATCTTTGGCACTGAAAAGAATAAGAAGATTCTTATTCGCTTTCTCAATGATATTTTAGGATTCACTGAAATAAATGCTATACAAGCGGTAGAATTCTTAAGCGCTATAATCGATCCTGATATTACCTCTGACAAACAAAGCATAGTTGATGTTTTCGCAAGGATGCCACTGGAACCAGGTGTATAATTGAAGTGTAGCTCGCTATAAACAAAGACTTTAAGGAACGTGTTCAACTTTATGCTGCTAAGGCTTACTAAGGCAATTAAATAAATCGGTTAAGGCTTGCTCAATTAGACATTGATTTAAAGAAGGTTTTCTTTATTGTAATTTCCAATTGTAACTTACTCTCTAAAAAGGTTGATTGTGTATCTACTCATAATATACATGATACAAAAACCAATGGCTATTACTTGAAAGATTTTCAATTTATTTTTATTGAACTACCTAAATTGTCTAGGAGTAAAGTAGAGCAATTAATAAATATAGTAGAGCATTGACGCTTCTTTTTTAAGAATGCAGAGGATACCACTGAAACAGATGTAAAAGCTAGCATACGATGGGTTAGATGAGTTCCGTTGGAATGAAGAAGATAAAATAGCGTATGAAGAAAGAGGAATCTAATGAATCTACAGAAAGACAAAGCCATCCTTGAATACAGCTACTAAAAAAGGTAGAGGAGAAGGTGTCAAAACCAGCAAAGAGAGAGGCATCAAATTGGAGCAGAGAAAGGTAGAGTGAAGAAAGCTAAAATAGCAGTACCGAAAAATTCACTTAAGGCAGGTATGTCTATAAGTCTTCCAACGTTGAAAAGAGAAATAATAAAATCAAAAGAACTAAACCTAGTAGAAAAAATAAAAATAGAACAAATAATTATGAAATCAATAACTTCAGATGCTAGCAAGGATAGTAATGAAAATCATTCTAATGCAGAAACAAATGAATACTACCGGAATTATTTACCACATCAGGAAGAAGTCTAACGCACACATCAACAACTACCATCGCTACTGGTTCACCTCCTGAAACAGTATGAGGAGTATGCTCACCCATACCCTCAAATCGACCACATGATGTCGTTACATGAGGAAATCCTACCAACAATAAACTTCCCATTATCAGTTATAAGTCCTCTTGTGCGTTTTCACTCCATTCTATCATTTCGGCATTGCAGGCTGTCTGTAAATCATTCTGCGCCGACTGATTCAACTTATCCTCTTTTACATTTGCTTTTATTTTCCTCACGTGGTTTAATATCTATCTACATGAATATCTTCCATTTCTTCAGAATGCTTATCACAGATAAGCTCCTCCTTCCTTATTCGGCCAATTCGATTGTGCACAGAATTACAGCTATAGTTGGTGATATATTTGTTCAGTAATGTATGGCAGAGAAGGTGCAAAGCAAATAACCGCAAAGTAGTATTCAACACATATGTCAAACTTTGTTTGCCTCTCTGCTTACTTTATCTCCATATGCACTTGTTGTTTGTTGCTAATTCCAAGTGATTGTCACAAAAGTCTTTCCAAAAAAATCCTTCTACTGCACCCAAAGCTTCACAGTATTCAAATTTTAATAAGTTATTCGTTGCTATAACTTTATATAGTTTAGACAGTATCTATTGATCCACTATCTCATCTGGATACCTTTCCATGAATTAGAAACAAACTTGCTGGCATTGAAAAGTTTTGTAACCAGGCACTTGCCAATTTTGAGTATGTTTTCAGAGTAGACTGTATCAACTCCAAGCCTTCAGTCTGCTGTCCAATAACGCACTACATCTGCACCGTATGTATCAAGTATCGATTTTGGAGTTATTATATTACCTTTGATTCACTCCTTCCTCTGCACAATCATCATTCAAACAACCCTCAAAGAAAGTTCCTTTCTCCATATTGAAATAATTTGGAGATATTTCAGAAAAAGACAAAAAATTGCTTATTTTCTCCATATTCAATAGACACAGCTTGCAAAGAAGACTGTACACGTTTTACACAAGCAATATTCAGCTGGGTAGAGCGTTACCCTTCAGAGGTAGGAGATGTCGGCAAGGGTGCAGCAGGAGAGTCATCGATGGAGGAGCATGTGGCAGGGATGGGTAATGGCACTGTAACAGGCGCAGCGCTCGGTAATTGCAAGAGCAACAAGAGAGGCAAGAGCTGGAGTTAAGGATAAGGCGTCAAAGAGTGATGCAAGCTCACTTACTTAGCTTATTCTGGGCAAAACATGCACATTTGCGCACTTTCTTCCCAAGTGACGTCATGACAATAAATAGATAGCATTGGTATTATTGATTACAGTAGCAATAGCAGGAACACTTGTATTCTCAAAGAAACTTGGTTGCAAATCAGTGATATTACCATATAAGTCACATCTATTCTTGCAGTAACTTTCTCACTGCCAATCCCAATGAAATACAATTTAATAAATGCACTGCGAGAAATGGCTAAAACTATGAATATAGTAACTAATAGCTTAGCGGTGAAGTTGTGCTCTGCACCACAATCGATTATGTTACTCAAGCCTCTGCCAACAAGGAGAATCGTTAAGATGAAATAATGCAGATTAGGTTTTATGTAATGAAATAATTGCCTGGTATTAGATCGCATCTTATTTTGAAGTTTCTAAAGTTAAGTTATGGATTTTGACTTCAGGAGAAAGAGGAAAGGTATAGTATAAAGGAACTAGTCTATAGCTTGTCTTTTAAAAGAAATACGCTCACGAAGATTTAATATGATAGTCTGATTTCTACTGAGGACAGCATTATGCCAAATGCAATGCTCGAAAAAAGAGGAGCCGCCGTAGCTAAGCAGTGGCAAAGTTATGCTAAGTGGTTAGAAGAGTGTCCAACGTTACCCCTATGTTTATTGTAAATTGTGGAATAAAGTGAATTGAGATATCCAAAGTTAGCAGCAGATTAAAGGTAAAAGAACTTCATATAGAAGTTGTTCACTCTCTAATCCTGTAAATTGCCGTAGTGTCTTAAACTTTTTATAGGTGCGTTTCGATTTGTAGAGGTAAAAACCTGAAATTTAGGTAAGATTGCAAGAGAGGACAATAGAAAATTGGCCTCTAGGGGGGCAATTTTGTAAGAGAGTTTCTAAGATCTATAGAGCTATAAAATGGTAATGTAAGGCTGTTAAATGCGTCTCAAGCCAATTATCTATACTTTTTTCGAAATTTCGATGAATTATATTTTGCATCTACACTTTAAATGTTATAAGGAAGCTTAAAATTATAAGTTAAAAAATATAGTTGAATATTTGCAAAAAATAGTGTATTACTATTAAGTTAATTTCTTATGGCTTTTTCTAAATTCCTTACCAAAACTGGACCTGACTTTCAAAAAGATCTTTGGCACGAAAGAAGTAAGAATATTCTTACCCATTTTTGAGCGAAGTTTTAGGGTATACTGAAGTTAATACTATGCAAAAAATAGAATTCATCAGCGTCATTATGAATTCTGAATTTGCTTCTGAGAAACAAAGCATGGTTGATGTTCTCTCAACGATTCTGTTGGTAATAAGTTTGTGGTTGAAATGGAGCTTACTCGTGACAAGGACTTTGAAAAATGTGCTCAATATTACACTGCCAAAGCTTCTCAAGGCTATCTGGTGGATTTACAAAAGATTTTCTTTATTATAATATCAAACTGCACTTTATTTCCCGATGAGTGAGTCAATTATATATCTAGCTATAACATAAGAGACGATGAAACTAGTGAGCATGATTTACAAGATTTTCAATTCGTGTTCATTGAACTATCTAAATTTCCTAAAAGTAAAGTAGACTAATTAACAAGCATAGTAGAACGCTGGTGTTTCTTTCTTTAAGTATGCAGAAGAAATAACAGATAAAAACTCAAAAAAGATAGCAGGAGAAGTATTAATCATAAATTAAGCATATGATGAGTTAAACAAGTTTCATTGGGATGAAAAGTACCTAACAGCGTATGAAGAAAGAATAATGAATCTGTACAGAGAGGAAGCTATCCTTGAAAAGAAACTTGCAAGGTATGGAAGAAGGAAAAATTGAAGTGGCAAAGACAAAGGCTGGCTGATAGTGTTGACACCAATACTATTCTCAAGTTTACTGGTCTTTCCATCAGTGAAAATGAAAATAATGCAGGATCAGAAGACGCTCATCAGTTAACCCAACGCGGGACGCGGACAGAATGACAGAATGCTATCAAGTGTACGGTTATACAAGGAACCTAATAATAATTGGTAGAGTCCCTCAGTTTTTCAAAAAAATTGTTTTGAGAAAAAAACAAAAAAGCGCACTCAATTTCTGATACCCCGTCATAAACTTCAGGTATGTGGTTGCAAAACTGAAATATTTTAGCACCATTTTCAATTTCTCCACCATTTGAATTATAGGCTCTAGAGTACAACCGTCTAACCCTTAAAGGAAATAGGAAATTTTATGAAAAAACAATAATTTATTAGAATTTTGCATGTTAAACTATAAAAAAAATTCTAATAATACCAAAAATTTATTTTAATTAAATGATAAAATATTGAAAAATTTCAACTCCTTAAAACAAATAGATATTTTGAACTAAATTGATTAATTTATATGCATTGCATGGATACTGGTCACATACATTGTGGTCGTTTGACCAGCAAAAATAATAAAATCAAGTTTAGAAATTGAGTTTTGATTAAAATTTCAGTTGCGAAAATAATAAAATTTTTAATTAGTCATCGATCTAATTCATTTTTGCATTTAATGCTAATTTTTAATTCAAATTTAAAATTGATTTTTGCGAAAATTCTATAATTTGTAAGAATTTTTGCGTAATAAACTGGGAAAAAACCCTGCTATTATCAAATTTAATCTTAATTAAATGTTAAAATATTAAATAATATCAAATCATTAAAATGTTAAAATATTAAATAATATAAAATCATCAAAAACTAATTTTAATTAAATGATAAAATATTGAAAAATTTCAACTCCTTAAAACAAATAGATATTTTGAACTTAATTGATTAATTTATATGCATTGCACGGATACTGGTCACATACACCATGGTCATTTGACCAGCAAAAATAATAAAATAAACTTTAGAAATTAAGTTTTAATCAATATTTTATTAGCAAAATTAATTAAATTTTTAATTTTTCACGATTTTAATTCATTCTTACGATTAAAATTAATTTATATTTCAAATTTAAATAATACATTTATAAAAATCCCATAATTTGTACGGGTGTTTTGCATACTAAACTAGGTAAGAAGTCCTACTATTACGGTGTGGTCAATTGACAACATAAATAAGAAAATAAACTTTAATAACTATGTCTTTTTTAATATTCGAGAAGTGATATTAATAAGATTTTTAATTTGTCGTAGATTTAATTCATTTCTGCAGCTAAAATTAATTTTTGTTTGAAAGCTTAAGATAGAATTTTATGAAAGTTTTATGATTTGCAATGAATCAAAACCTTTTTTGTATATTAGACTTTTTTCTATAATTTCTAGTAATATCAAATTTTACTTTAATTAAATGTTAAAACTGTTAAAAAATATATTATTCATTAAAAAAAGTTAGATATTTTGAGCTTAATTGATTAATTTGTATGCATTGCACAGGTACTGGTCATCTACGGTTGCTCATTTGATCAGCATAAATAACTAAATAAACTTTAAAAATTAAGTTTCAATCAATATTCGACTAGCAAAATTGATTAAATTTTTAATTTATCACGGTTTTAATTCATCCTTACAATTCAAATTAATTTTTATTTCAAATTTAAATATCAAATTCTGTGAAAATTTAATGATTTATTAGAGTTTTGTATATTAAAAAGTAAAATGAATCCCTGTGTTGTCAAAATTTATTTTAATTAAATGTTAAAATATTATAAATATCAATTGTTTAAAAAAAAAAAAATAGATAATTTGAGCTTAACTGATTAATTTATAAGCGTTCCATAGTACTAGTTATTTACGGTGTGGTCATTTGACAAACATTAATAATAAAATAAACTTTAATAATTAAGTTTTAATTAATAATTGATAGGCAAAATTAACTAAAATTTTTAATTTATCACGGTTTTGATTCATTCTTACAATTGAAATCAATTCTTATTTCAAATTTTATGAAAATTCAATAATTTGTTAGGATTTTGTATATTAAACTATAAAATAAATTCTAGCAATATCAAAGAATCATTTTGATTAAATGTTGAAATATTAAAAAAAATCGAATCATTTAAAAAATTAGATAATTTGAACTTAATTGATTAATTTGTTTGCATTGTACAGGTACTGGTCACATACATTGTGGTCATTTGATCAGCATAAATAATTAAATAAACTTTAAGAATTGAGTTTTGAATTAAAATTTCACTCGTGAAAATAATAAAATTTTTAATTAGTCATAGATCTAATTCATTTTTACAATTAATGCTAATTTTTAATTTAAATTTAAAATTGATTTTTATGAAAATCCTATAATTTGTAAGAATTTTTGCATAATAAACTGGAAAATAAACCCTGTTATTATCAAATTTAATCTTAATTAAATGTTAAAATATTAAATAATATCAAATCATTAAAATGTTAAGATATTAAATAATATCAAATCATCAAAAACTAATTTTAATTAAATTTAAAGTATTAAAAAATCTCAAATCATTAAAGAAATAGATATTTTGTACTTAATTGATTGAATTTTATGCGTTGCAAGGTACTGGTCACACACACCGTGGCCATTTGACAAGCAAAAATAATAAAATAAACTTTAGAAATTAAGTTTTAATCAATATTTTATTAGCAAAATTAATTAAATTTTTAATTTTTCACGATTTTAATTCATTCTTACGATTAAAATTAATTTATATTTCAAATTTAAATAATACATTTATAAAAATCCCATAATTTGTACGGGTGTTTTGCATACTAAACTAGGTAAGAAGTCCTACTATTATCAAAATTTAATTTCAAAGGATGTTAAAAGTATTAAAAAATATCATTTAATAAAAAAAAAATTGATTATTATATACGCATAGTGCAGGAACTGGTCACATACATTGTTGTCATTTGACATCTTAAATAATGAAATAATGCTTAGGCTTAGGCTTAGGGTGTACTTAGGCTTAAGCTTAGGGTATACTTAGGCTTAGGCTTAAGCATTATTTCAAATCTAAAAATCAATTTT